TTTACACACTTCACGGCCATGTCGTGGAGGATGCGCGAGCCTCGCACTCGAATTCGCTCACCGGTCTGCTTCTCCAGCATCGGAGGCACTTATTCCATGTCCAATGTGGCATCCTAGCCAGGTTCTGTCAGTCGCAGGGCAAAAGCGAACGCAGCCGCAGCCCCGTGTCCCCACGAGTCCGGAGCAGGTCGTCCGTTGCGGATAGAACAGGCGCGTCACTCTCGTTGGTTTCTTGTCTTGTGACTGTTCGAGAACGCCAGTGACTACAACCTTGGCTAGATGTAGGCCGGGACGTAATGCTTACTCGGTGCTTGCGCGTCCCAGGCACGGGAGCCAATTTGCCAGGTTCACTAGTAGTGATACTTTCATGGTAGATGTGCCGTGAAATACACGTATTCCTCTCCCTCATATATCCAGCCATGTGGGTCCTGGTTCCGATTCCATTCTGTCCTGCTCGTCTTCCTTAGCTTCTTTTTCTTGTCGTAGAAACATAGATAGCCATCTCTCTTTTTCACCTCGACTAGGACCGCCTGACGCGCCAGCTCGGAATGAGCAGCTGAAGTTGTTTGTGAACCTTGTCCGGTCCCTTGGTCTTCATCGTCGCTGTCAGGATACGGGGAGGGCCCTGCGCTTGCCACGTCGCCTTGGGAGTCGCAAAGTCTCGCATTGGCTGGCAGTTTTGTCGACACCCGGCCAGATGTATTGTGGACGAACTTGTGCCTATTCTCCTGTCTCCAACTATCCAAAGGGGGATAGCTATACCCGACCCTGCCGTTTTCACCAGCTGCCATAAGTCACAAACAAAAAAGAGACAGAGTCACTGTAAGCCGACCCCTGCCATGTGCAGCTAGAGGTATGACAGCGAACTCCGGAGGCAGGAATTCGGCATTGACCGCATTTGCCAAGTCGTCCTCGACGTACGATTGCGCGCCGAAAGAGTCAAGTGACATGGATTCCACGATAGAAGATAGATCAGTATTGCCAGATGGGTACCGTTGGTGGATCACTCTAGTGGAACGGGTTGAAGCCAGCCCATCGCCGACTCTTTCTCGTGTGAACCGCAAGACAACGAGCTTTTCGTCAGTTATAATGAAGCCATACCGACAGGCACTCTCGGCGGCGTAAGTGGTGACCTGGGACAAAGGTAATGTCCACTGCTGCCGCTCGGTGTCGTTTAGCGACTGTTCCATGTCTGGCCTCCATTTAGCCGAGAGGTTCGTGTCCCCTGGGAGCAAGTTCCAAAACCTCCCATCGGATTTCCTCAAGCTTGACACCAAGGACCAATCTGGCGAGCCGTCGCCATGGCACCAACTTCCCGTGCCGAGGTACAGCGCTTCCTTTCCCCATTGAAGGATATGGTTGGCTTCTCTCAGTGCTGCATTGACATGGGACTTACCTGTTGAACTTCCAGGTAATAGACGGAATGTCCGCAGTGCTACGAGAGACCAAGGCAGAACAAGGCACGAACTGAAATGAACCCGTCCGACGAGCATCATGCTGCGCTAAGACACATTTTCGGGGGTCACGTGATGGGGGCTGGAACTTTGAACTCTGATCTGAACTTTGACTCCCGTGGTCCTTACTCAGAAACGAGATTAGTGCAGGCCGCACCAATGAATCTTGTCCGCCAGGATATAGAACTTCACAGGCAAATCCGGTGCTGTTGAATCGGTGCAGCGTAGCTAGCAAGTTCGAGCTTTTTGTCCCAGTCCAAGGAGTCAGCGTGCCCTTCTTTATGGCAGCAGCGGCGTGCCGCGGCATATAACACGTTGGCGTGGAGGTGTAGTTGCCTCACGAGTCGAAGGCAAGGTTGCGGCAAGCTATACCTGGGTAGCCTTTGTAAGACATCGTCGCTCAGTGGCTCAACCGTGACCGGCCATCCACGATCTTGGTGGCAAGCTGATGAGGGTATCTGGAGACTGCGGATGGTGTTTCCCTAGCTAAGTACGAACCGTCAGTGAGGATTCGGCTAAATGCCATACGTTGAAAGTCATGGCGAATGGCAAGCTTAACACTTCAATCGGCAGCTTGGTCGGTATTCTGCGTGTAATATTGCGCCGGGCTTTAAAGAATCGATGAAGGGCAAATTCGGACGGCGCTTTGTTCAGAATGTGACGGTATCGGACAGATCGCAATGTCTTGATGCAGGACGATACGAACAACGAGTGTTGGTGGCAGATGCTCTCGTGACTGGCCAATTACTTACTGTTCAACGTTGCTTCTTCGAAGACTGAGAGCGAAGTACAGTGGAGGTGCGCGACGGGAGAAGACGAGAGAACAGACTGGACATAGAGGGTCTGGGGGGTCGTTCCTAGACCCTTCCGCCGCCGTTTCTACCCAATTCTCATGTGACGCAAGTTTCGGCTCCTCGACACACTGCTGCGGGCTTCTACGATGGAAGAGTGCACGGCCAAGTTGCGGATTGACTCCCGCCGACTCAGAAGAGCCATTGTCGGCACTCAGACGAGGTTGTCAGCGTTGAAGGCAAGCGTCAACATGGATGTCTAGTGCGATGGTGTGGAGAAAGGCTGGGTGAAGGTTGATGGTGTGAAGCCAAGAAGCTGGTGGTGGGCTGAATGACGGGGGACACGGATCCTTGTCTGTACCCCTGTACCACCCTAGCCTTACCCCTTGTCCTGGGCAATGTGCAACAAATCGCGTCCAGAAACGGCTACAATCCTTCTTCGCCTCCTCCCGCACGTCTTGCGGGCTGCACACAACGCGTCCTGGAAGCCTGCATGCTTCACACCACACATCCTGCAAGCTTCACACCACACATCCTGCAAGCCGACTTGGCTTCACACCACACGTCTTGCAAGACTTCATGCTTCACACCACACGTCCTACAAGCCTGCATCCTTCACACCACTCGTCCAGCAAGCCTCACACCACACATCCTGCAAGCCGATTTTGCTTCACACCACTCGTCCTGCAAGCCTGCAGGCTTCACACCACACGTCCTGCGAGCTTCACACCACACATCATGCAAGCCTAAATGCTTCAC